GGTGGGAGCAGCACTGTGGGGCACTGAGGGAAGCTGTGGAGAGGCTTGGGAGGGAGGGACCTCTCCTGCAAGGATGCTCCTTACTGTGAGAATCCGTTCAGAGACAGGCAAACAGGAGCATGTCCTAGAGAAACCCTGTTTTCCTGTCAAACATGCTGGGAAAGCAGTGCCCCCTCTGTTTTATCATGGGGAGGACCTGCTCACCCTTGGGTAGCAGAGAGCCCAGGGCAACGGTTGTGCTGGAGGCAGTCACTGCCACGGGCACGATGCTCAAGCTGAGGTGGCAATTCCAGTGCCAGCAGCTTCACACAGTGTCCATGGAGCATCCCCAGGCAGGACCAGGGTGGTGGGGCAGGAGCAGGCTGCCCCATCCTCCCTGACTGGCCTTGCAGTGCCTCCTTTCCGGGTCGTGGCGCAGTGACACGGGCTGCAGGATGGTTGTGTTCACCGTTGGCAAGGACGGTAGCTTCTCTGGTTCCTACCTGCCAGGATCTGCTGCTGGCAACTCCGAAATCCTCTCCTCACCTCTGAAGGGGTCCCAGCAGGATGTGGGGCTGGTCCTGCAGCCCATCTTCTCCTTCACTGTGCACTGGCAGCATCAAGGTAAGCAGGAGGGGGGTATCACATTGCAGTGGTGACACATTTGGGGGTGGCTTCATGCCTTGCCACCCCAAATCACACCTCCTCGGACCCTTCCAGACTTGGACACAACCCAGATGAGTGTATTCCTGGGCCAGTGCTATGTGGGCACCAATGGGGAGGAGACCCTGCATGCCCTATGGCTCCTGCGAGAGGCATCCAACAGCCCTGCAGAAGACTGGAAAGCCACACGGTGAGCACTGGTTCCCATGGCCACCACTGTGCATGCTTTCCTGCACTGAACTGGAGAAGGGAGAAATCCCATGGGATGAGGCATGGCAGGACTGGGAGGGTGAAATTGGTTTGCCACCAGTGATGAGGGGCTAAGGAGCATCCCCGTGATGTGGCCAACCCCTGCATCTTAGTGTACCCAGGGTGGGTGACCCCAGGATGGGTTCTGGCCTCAACCAGATGCCCTCAAGCCTCTCCTACCACAATGTCCAGCAGGCAGAGAGGAGGACACAATGCCAGCACCCACAGCAGCCTCTGCTAAAGGGTGCTGGAGCCCAAGGCATCCCACTCAGCACCCAGCAGGGAACACAGTACCCCCCCTTTGCTTCTCCCTCTGTACCCTTCACCACAGCATAGGTAACCCCATTGGGGTCAACCACAGTGATCTGGGGTTCCTGCAGGATTGGCACCATCATTTTCACTCGAATAAGATAACAGCAAGCAGAGAAGCAGCAGCAAGCAAGCCCAGGAGGCCTTGAACTGCAAGGACACAGCTCTACCCCCAGCCAGGCTCTGCCTCCTCTGTGGTGCTGTATTTCAGCAGCTCTCAGCCCACATGTTCCTGCTTTCCCAGGCAAGTTCAGCACAGCGTGAAGGCTGTGCGGCAGGTACACAATAAAGGGTTTCTGTGGGGACAACAGGGCTTGGCTCTGGTTTCTGCCTGTTCTCTAACCCACAGGGTTTGCCTTACTTTTGCACCCACGTGAAGCCGCAGCTGCATGCAGCAGTCTCCATGGGGATAAGGGCTACCTTGTGTCCCCTCCCTGGTGCTGCTGTGCCTGCAAGTGTGATGCTGTGCTGCAGATATCTTGTCACTCGGGGTCCCTCCTAAATGCTCCCAGGGGTGCAGGACAAGCTGGGCTGTGGGTAGGCAGCAGGAGCAGGATAACCACTGTGGAATGCTATGGGCAGCATACCCCAGGGCTGCAGGGAAGGCTCCAGGCAGAGTGGAGCAGAGGAAGTTCCTCGGGTGCCTGAATGCACGGGGAGGCTGCAAATGGCTTTTGCAGAGCCGGCAGGCTCCTGTTCCCAGCACAAGCAGATAGGGAGAGATCCAAAAGCCAGCCCCTGGAGAGACCTCAGGGCGAGGCCATGTCCCTGAGCAACGCAAGCAGCGGCTCCATCTCTCTATTTTGAGCTGCTCTTTTAATCGGGCTATCAGTTTTCTGCTAGTTTTTGTTTGCGTTGGTATCCAGCTATTGGTTATAATGATTAGAACCGGGATGGGTGCTGGGTTTAAGGTTTCCCCTGAAAAGGAGGGTATGTTTTCCACTGAAATCTCTGCCTCTCTCTTTCTCTACTTGAGAACCCCTGATTCATTAAAAAAAAAAACACAGGAGGAAAATATGATTCCTTTAAAGCTGCGATCGGGAGGTGTTTTGTGTCAGCCACAGAGCCCAAACCCTCCTCAGCAACAGGAGGCAAATCTAATGTCATGCTTTCAAGCACTACTGAAGCTCAGGGGTCACCAAGTGTAAAAGAGAGTGTTTCCATTCATCAGCATCCATAGGGGACTTGCCAAGGGCTGAGCAGAGTATTTTCCTCACATTTCTGGTCTGTCGGTGTGCTCCCTCAGTGCTGATGCAGGCACTTTAAGGAATGTGCATGGGACACAAGTCAACACTGGGAATAATAGAAGGAACACGGCAGGGAGGGCAAGCAGGGACCATAACACCAGGGTAACACCGGACTGTGTGTGTGTGCAAGCAGGATGTGTTTTGACCCCTTCAGCACACAAGGGAAAAAGCTGTCATGGAGGATGTGCAGCAAGGAGGAAGGTGGCAGAAACACCTGGCTCCTCCTGCTCCTCTGCTTGATGGAAACAAGGTGCGAGCCTCCTCTGCTGAAGAACTCATTACGGGCATTTTTATCATTGCTGCCCTTTAACCCAAAGCACAAGGCCTGGGCTCAGCTTCCTTCCTCTCACTGGCTCAGAGCTGCTTGTTGTGGGACCAGCACGACAGCACATAGAGCAATGCAAAATAGCATGGAAGGAGCAACCATCCCCAAAACTCTCATTGCAGTGTCCCTAGTGCTTTGTGGCATGGAAGGGCTGGTGCAGGCAGAGCCTGGCAGCAGGAGTGTGTGCTGGGCTGTGTTTGATGGGGAGCCTGCTGTGCTTGCCTGGCTCCCTGCCCACTCTCCCAGTGCCCTCTCCCATCCTGATACCTGTCCAACAAGCCAGATTGCTGCGGAGCACAGCGCTGACCCATCACCCTGGTTAAACACGGGCTGCGGTGCTGCTCCCTGCTCTGCTGGCAGCACCACTGTGTTTTATTTCGGATGAGTAATATCGCTTAGTGCCGGGCTGAGGACTCCAAGTGACATCAGTGGCATCACACCCTGGCGTTGAACTGCAAAGTAAAAGTGAGGTCCAACAGCTTCCTGCCATCGTGCATGGCTCCTGGGAAAAGAGGTCCAGCAGTTCCCTGAGGATGTGACAGGCTGCATGCCCCAGCCAGGGCAGAGCTGAGACCTGATCCCGATACAAGTGTGCTGCTGCCTGTCCTCCTGGGGACAGAGGCACCCCTTGGCTGTCTCTCTTGCGCAGGCAGAGACCACGCTTTCAGTGTTAGATCTCATTCACTTGCACACACACTCTTTGCTTATGGGGTGGGTTAAAAGCACGGTGCTGCCTGCATCCACCACCCAAACCCACCACTAGGCTCCACAGCCTGAGCTCATGGTCCACTCCCACCTCCCATGGACCCACTGATCCCAGCAACCCCAGTGCCCAGCCCTGATTTATCACCCACACCACAGCAGGGCCCTCCCCACAGCCCCCCAGCCGAAGGGATGGGGCTGTTGCACTACCCCGCCTCTGCTCCACTTCCTGCCATTGTGCAGCTCTGTTACAACAGCAGCAGTGGGGCAGACACCGGCTCCTCATGCTTCCGACCAGGGAAGCTGCTCGCTTCCGCGGAGCGGGGTACCCCACACCAAAACCACCAAAAGGAGACGTGGTCATGCTTCATTACTGTTTATTTACTTGCTACTACTAAGGAAAGTATTAACTGTTACAGACATCTGGTGGAAGGCACCCTGCTTACAGCTGGGGAATTGAACTAAATGATCTTTAAAGGAACCTTACAATTTAAAATATTCTATATGATACCATGAAATGTTCTACGGTAGGAAAGATGATTAACCATTACATGATAGTTTCAAAGTATGCAGAAAGTGCCCAGTAGACCTATTTAAGCAGTAGTAAGTCATTTAAAACAAGCAGTGGTTTTTTTTTGTCATTCACTACTAAGCTGCACTTCAAGCAACACACTGCTCACCGTATCAAAAGTGCTTCTGCTTAACCTTTTGGAGCAACTAGAAACAGCTCACTGCATCCTTGGCCAGCACAGCAAAGCTTGGGCACACAAGGACACAGCTTTGAGAACATCCTGCGGCCATGAAAGCCTCCAGGGGAGCAAACAGCTCTGCTGCGTTCTGCTTCATCCCACCCCGCATGAAGGTTCCGAGATGTGCCTCCCCCCGAGGTCCAGGATAAACAGAGTGGGCTGTGCCAGATGGAAAGGCTCAGCCCCTACAGAAGGCAACAGCACACGTGGCCTGGGAAGGGCTCTACATTACCTTCTCTAGCCAGGCCAGCACCTGTGCCTGTGGCTCAAAGGTAGCAGGAACAGGCGACAAGCAGAGCCTGTCGCAATGGCAGAATCACTCTTTGTGGGAGCACTGAAGGGCAGCTCCCTATCTCACAAATCAGGCAACACCACAGGACTAAGGGGAAGGAGCAATGGACATATGTTTGTGGCTACTGCATGCAGTAATAAGTGCAGGACTTTGTTTATTCACCTTTACCTGGGCAAAGAAGCAGCAGTACAATAGACTCCATCTATCTTGTGCAGATTAACTAATGGCAACCTCAGACTTGACCACCTTCACCCTCCATGCCACACCCCACCCCTACAAGCCACAAGGATGTGCCCTGAGCTGCAAGACATGTCGGCAGCTACAGCAAAATTGACAAGAGTTTTCTATTCTATCATCTCATATGGAGCTCTGCTATAGAAACATAAAGTGTCAGAACTATTCCTCCCCAGCAAACCTGAGCTCACAGCAGTCAGGGGAGTATTCAGAAGAATCTACTTTGACAGCTTTGATGGGACTAAGGAGGCTCTACTCGTCCCTTTCCGGTAGGATGCCCAGGGTCACTCCGAGAAGCAGGAGGAAGTTGCAGAAGTCACATCTGCAGGGTGCTGCTGGATTACCCCTCTGGGGCAGCATGATCAGGCCACACCTTCCTCTTCCGCTTCCACAGCACAGGCACTTCTGGCTGTGATAGGCTGCCCTGGGAGTGCTGCTGAGGAGGCTCAGAGGGAACCAGCTCGAAATCAGCTGCTGCCAGAGCATCAGGTATTGAATTTCTGTTGAAAGATTTGTGAGTGGGGTTGGGTGGACCATGGCCCTTTTGCCATCACCAAATGAGGCTGCCCAACCCGAGTGGAGGGGTCCTCAGATGCTGGGCCTGTCATCCCCAGCCTCCCACCATCCTGGCCAGAGCCCACAAGAGAAGAACTAGAGCTGCCTCCTCCCAGGGGAAGCAGGGAAGGATGCTGTGCTGCTGCCAGGTACAAGCATCCAAGAGGGACTGGATCCCTCTAGGTCTCGTACCACCTCTTGTACCCCAAGGCAGACCTCTGCAACAGGGCTGAGTAAGAGTGCAGAGCTGAGCCAAACATAGTGGTACCCCAGCAAGGGGGGTGCTGGGGTGGAGGTTCCCCAGGATTGCGAGTGTCTATGGGGGAGGAGGGCAGCGCTTCACCTGGAGCCATGTTTCAGCCCCCAGGCACTCACCTTCAAGACCCAGATTTGCCTTGATGCTTTCAATCATGCAGGCCCTCTGCGAGAAAAAGACACCGAAGGACAGAATGGCCTGGAAACAGATGGGCACAGACCTCAGCAACGGGCACAGACAGGCATCACTCACAGCAGTAAACACTTCTCTCCCAAGCAGCAGAGACCCCTTCACAGACATTGAGGCTGAAGCCACTCACCGTCATGTAGGTTTTAGCCACGGCAGTCCTGTTAGAGGGCTGGCTCACAAAGGCTTGCAGCTCCCTGAACTGCCAGAACAGTGACCTGCAGGACAGGAGGTAACACAGGTTAACACAGCAGATAAACCAAGGGCTGCACACTCCCCCATTGCCCCCTTTGCAGGCCACAACCCCAAAGGAACAGCCCTCCCCATCACATCTGCCGGGTCCAACAAGAAGTACTTACCTGTTCTGCTTCTGCAGCGCCCGTATGTTCCCCAGGCTCTGGTTCTGAGCCATGCAGGCTGCCACCCTTCGCAGGAAAGACGAACAGCACGGAGGGAAAACAGGCTTTGTTAGTTAGAGTGACGCCTCACCCGGCTTTGGGGAGGGCTAAGCCCTGCCCAGTCCTGCACAGAAGCGCCACACCAACCCCTAAGGATGCTCTGTCCTAGAGGCACACCAGCCGTGCACATCCGTGATGTCAGGCTAGCACCAGGCTTGTACAGAGCAAGCTCTGTGCCGTCTCCAACGTGAAGAGAGCACAGCAAGCAATGCCCTGAGCCTCTGAGAACCCAGAGGGTCTGCCTCTCTTGGTGTGTAGGGTGGCAAGACCCCAGCACCAGCCCAGCATGGCGGCTTGTGCCTGGCTCCCCTGCTCCCAATCCCCAGCCATGTATTCGGCACAACTAAGACTGTTTTGTACTAGTGGGGGAGCAGCCGTTCCCTGTGACCCAGGGGGCTGTGTATTCGTTCCCTTCCCCTCCTTATCGGGCCCTGAAGGTCCTGTGCACCAAGTAGACAAAACCCCCAGATTCCTCATTCCCTTCCCTCCCCACCACAAGGATTCTGAGTGAAATGCTGTTTATTCCCATTTCCTGCCGGCCTTGATGGTCCCTGGCACCTTGCCATCCCCACTGTGTTGATGACCCTGTCACAGAGCAGGGAAGCGTAACAGCACAGAAAGTACTCTACTTAATACAAAGTACTTACGGATCCTAAGAGGGAACCTGAAGCTGGTGCTGAGCAGCGAGACTGAAGACACCCTTGGTCAGGAGCACCTCCACCACCACCATATGTCTCCCCTCACGATGGAGGGAGTGATTCATATTCCTTTATGTAATTTTTGAGTCTAGATTATGATTGCTCTATTGATATAGCAAACTGCATGTTAAGATTTGACCCGATACACAGAGGGTCCATGTGATGAAAAATCCTAAGTCAAGTTGTATTAGTATCTAGGCTATTAGAAATTATAAGTTGTATTATAAGTTCTGTATTACACTGGTTATAGTTTGTACTACATTCATTCTGCTTGCAGAAATCCTGTGCCACTCTAAGAATAATGTCTGTGCTATACTACTCATAATACATTAAGAGCACAGTTTTAACTGAAATTTAATTTAAGCCTGAAGAACAGAAAGCTCAGGGGAGATATTAAAGCAGCTTCCGGTACTTAAAGGAGCCTACAGGAAAGATGGAGATGAAAGTTTTTCAAAGGTAAGTAGGGACAGGACAAGGCAGGATGGTGTTAAACTGACATAGGGGAGACTTAGACCAGATATAAAGAAGAAATTATTCACTATGAGGATGCTGAGGTGCTGGCACAGGGTGCCCAGAAAAGCTGCAGCTGCCCTATCCCTTGCAGTGTTGAAGGCCAGGTTGGAGAGGGTAACCTGGTCTAGTGGGAGGTGTCCATGGCAGGGGGTTAGAACTGGATGAGCTTTGCTCTCACAACACAAATATACGATCCTATGCAACTACAATTGAGTATTGCAGAGTACCCATAAAGAAATCTGTCTCCCCAGTGCTGGGTGACACTACTGTGTGCCCCTACTTGTTTTCCAGGTTATTCATGTTCCTCTTCTTTCTGCGATAGATATTCTGGATTGAATGCTTGTTCCAGACCTTGCGACGTGCCTTCTTCACAAGCTGGTCTTTAACCTGCAAGGGTCATTTCTCCTTAGGAGCAAACATTGGCAATACAACCCTCATAAACCCTGCATACACCTCAAATCTCAGCCCTTGTGGTTTTACCCTCTACCCCCCCCCCCCCAGCAAAGCACAGGCTGCTGATGTGGACAGCAGCTTCTCCAGCATAGCAAAAGCAAGGCATACCTAAGGGAGTTGAAAAGCACACAGCTCACAAGCAAGGGAGTAATATAATAGATTGGAGGCATTTGTGGTATAACTACCTCCTGCAAGCAGTCGTTAGTGGGGAGACAGACAGCAGCCAGGTCTTGTTGCTCTTTATATCTGCCTGATAACAAAGCTGAGGCTGCTGTACACATGAACATCCCCAAGGCCTTGAAGGGTGGAAAAGAACACCAAAGCCTACCCCACGCTGCCTCAACACAGCACCTGGGCAGCAGTGCTCTCATGAAAACATCACCCTGCATTTTCAAACCCCTGCTCTGGCTGAAGTATTTGAGTGGTCCAAGTGTGGGTTTGGGAGAGACACACAGCAGCAAGGACTCACTTGGGTCAGTGGCAGATAAGTGAAATCTTCAGCCAGCAGGAGCTGCTTCTGCTCCTCAGTCAGGACCAGCTCTGGGAAGCTTGCCTAGAAAACAGCAAGAATATGCCTCCTGAGAATACAAAGTAAAAGGAGTATACACTGGGGCAGAGAAGACATGCAGAAAGGACACAGAACCAGGATCAGCTCCACCAAAGAGGCATCATGCTTTCCTCAGAGACACCCCTCACAGAAAGCAACCCAGGAGAGAAGAGGAGATGTGAGCAGAAGCAAAGGCTGGGGCTCACATGCATGGCAGTCCATACCTGCATAGTGATGGCAGGCTCAACCTGGGGTACGGCATCCACAGAAGCTGGAACTGGGAAACCAGAAGTTGGTACAAGGGCCATGCTTGTGCCTTCCGCTCTTTGCCAGTTGCCTGGGGAAGGAAAGGAGAGTGCAACATTGGGCCTCAGTGAGGCTGTGCCCGACCGGTCAGCTCTAGGTAGCATCAAACTGCAATGTTACGGCAACTGAAAGCTACTACACGTGGTGCTCTCCATCACTTCCTGGCACCCACCCTAAACCCCACAATGTGGGGCTGCTTTTGTGCCTGCAGCCAGGACATAAAGTGCCCGTGCCCATCACTTACCGACATCAGTGGATATATTCTCCTCTCCCATGTCTGCCAGCTCGGATGCTATGCTTTGCAGCAGAGACCAATCCCAGTGGAGGGAAGAGCTGTGATCAACCTGCGGGGCTTCTGAGTTCTGGGTGTCGCTGGCAGGGTCTGTGGCAGCAACCTCGCTACCAGCCAGCTCACTGCCAGCAATCTCGCTGCCAGCAGAGTTGTTGCCAGCAGAGTTGTTGCCAGCCAGGTCGTTGCCAGCCAAGTCATTGCCAGCAAAGTCGCTGAAGGAAAAGCCGCTGAAACCAAATTCATTGACAAAATTCAGGAGCTGAAGTTGATCTTCCGGAATGTCGATATCCCCATCAGCAGGTAGACAATCCTGCCGCATGCCTGCCCCGTTTTGAAAGGGGTTCAGGATGGACGTGATGAAATCATCCATATCCTTGTCCAGAGGCTGTGGAGAAAAAGCTTTACTCAGCAGCGAGACAAACATCTTTCATCACAACCCAGCAGCAACTCCTCCCAAACAGCTCACCTCAGGCTCTGGCAGCCCCCAGTCTTCCAGCAGAACATTGTCCCCCACTGAGATATCAGGCATAAAACAACCTTCTTTCAGGAGGAATTCAAACAGGTCATCATCTGCCAGGAGAGCCAGCTCATCTGGGCTTGACATCTGTGCAGGACACCCAAAGTGAGCACCGGCATGGAGGAGACACCAGAACTCCTTCTAGATGTCCCTCAGCCCCTGCAGAGTCTACTGTGCAATGGCAACAGCTGCTGGGGCTCTGCAGCAACAACAAGACCTTGAATACATCCCCAGCAAAGCCATTATGCAAGCCCTGGTGGTCCCAGAACACCGGTTTCCCCGTCAGGTTATTGGGACCCAGCCACAGCAACAGGTGAAGTATTAAAAGAAGCTAGCATTATAACATACTACATAATATTATATAATATCTAATATCATATCTAATATAATACCAAATACCATAATATAATATAATATAATATAATATAATATAATATAAGCAGGGGGGTTGGAACTAGTTGATCTTAAGGTCCTTTCCAACCCTAACTATTCTATGATTCTATGATTCTATGATATATGATTTCTATTATATCATATCATACCATACCATACCATACCATACCATACCATACCATATTATATATTAATTATGTTATATATCAATTTATACTATATCTTAATTTATATTATGTCTATTTATAGTCTATATCAATTTATATTATATATCAATTTACATTATAATATCATTATGCGATAAACTAAAAAGGTTTTGTTAATGATTAAAGATCAAACGATAATCAGTGAGTGGAAATGAAATGATAATAAATGGTGATTAGACGGTCATAGAATGGTAATTAAACAGTGTTTTGACAGTGATTTAAATGATGGTTTAAACAACAATTTAGGCAGTGGTGAAACGTTCTGCTACTTACTACACTTAAAACAATTAAGCTATAGCTGGATACACATAAATTCATAGAATCACAGGCTGGTTTGGGTTGGATGGGACCCTTAAAGCTCATTCAGTTCCGACCTCGGTGCCATGGGCAGGGACCCCTTCCACTAGACCAGGTTGCTTAAATCCCTGTTAAACCTGGTCCACGATGAGTTACTTTGATTAGCCAGCTCATAAGAAATTAGGCTGCAATATTCCAGCATTCCTTGGTGAAGAATTACACTGTTACACGGACTTACACAGTTCATTTTAGCACTGGTATTTCTATAGTCTCGGGGCACCGTTTGCTCTTTTTGCTCCTCCTTATACCAGGCACCACCAGAAAACTGATCAGATTTAGCAAGAAAACTCCTATACTTTTAGGCTGAATGTAAGCAAAACATGACTTACCTTGCTGTAGTATCAAGGTATCAGATGGTGTGTGAAGGGACTCTCAGCCGTAGGTATCAGATGCTGAGTGAAGAGTCTCTCAGTCTCCAGGAGCAACTTTGGCAGACGTCTGCTCCTGGAGAGATCCCTGCTGTGCAGCTCGCTGCTGTATGGGAGATTTCAGTGGGCACAGGGAGGCGAAAAGTATTTATAGGATAAAGCGATGGACTTGTAGTCAAACCCCACTTGGTGTTTTTGCAGCTGTGTCAGTTTTAGTTTTGTCTAGCCCCAGCTTGCGCTGGTGCTGCTATCTCCAGATAAGATGTGTCCTGGACTCCTTGGTGCCTGAGAAGATGCGGCCTTGCATGGTTCTCATGGTTTGCACAACAGAGCTGCTGTCGGTCAGGCCTGCTTGACCATGATGCCTGAACCAAAGCCCTGCTCTTTCACCCATGGGGGGCATCCATTATACCCCCCCCCCCCCCAGTGTCCGTAAGCTTTTACTCACTGCTAGCAATCACAGCCCAGAAAGTACCTGAACCAACAGCCCCAAAACAAAAAAAAATCCCACCTAAAAAAGAGAAAAGTGCTGTGCCAGCTGCCTGGGAGCAGGGCAGGCAGATGGTGAGGGACCGCCGCGTTTGGCCAGCAGAAAACGGAGCAGTGAGGGGAAGGGGCATGGGGCAGAACGCGGACAGAGCCAGGGCACATTGCTTCTACACACAAACTGCTGCCTTTAAATCTAGGAGCCGTGCGCCGGGCGCGGAAAACCGGGGCAGGCGGCAGCGGGTAAGGTACGGGTAAGGGAACAGAAGACGCTACCCCACCCGGACAACCCATCCGAAGGAGGCAGAGGAGCCTCTCACAGCGGGGCTGGACCGCGGCTCAACCTCAAGCCCGCAGGGCTCGGACAGCACGGACAGCGCAGCCTGTCAGAGAGCCGGGGCACTGGGGAAGTACCGCCGGCCACCGCAGGGTGTCAGCGCTGCCACACCCGGCTGCCCTGCCCCGCCGCCGGCCGTCCCGCGGGCACCCCCCTAGGGACATGCGAGGAGCCGCCTGTCGCGGTTCCCCCTTTGCTCGCGGTCCCCCTAACCCCGCTCCGCCTTCGCACGGCACCGACGGGTGACGTCCCGCCTACCGGCGAGCCCCGCGCGTAGGGGGCCCGCCCCTCCCGCCGGTGACACCGGTTACCCCGGGGGCAACGGGGATGTTATGGGGGGGGGCGGGGGTGAAACAGGGGTGCTCCTGGATGGGCGAGGGCCCCGACGGGGGTGGGGGGGTGCGACGGAAGAAGCTGGGACCGGGAGCAAGCAGAGGCGGCGGGGCGCAGGGCCGGGCCCCGCCGGTACCGGACAGCGCTATCCCTGTGCGCGGGGCCGCCCTGCGGCAGCCCCGGAGGGAGCGCAGCCCCGGGGCTGGATGCTGCACGGTGCCGAACCGAGCTGTGCCACCCGGCGGCGCCCCGTGCCCCGGCGCATGCGCGGCGGGGGGCGGCGGGGCGGGAAGCGGGCGGTTCCGCCCCGCTCCGCTCCGCACAGCCTCGGCGGGGCCGCCGCGCTGCTGCTGCCCGCGCACAGGTACGGGGACCGGGCAGAGGGGAGACAGCGGGGCCCGGGGGGGGGGGGGGCGCCTGGGGAAGGGGGGTCCCGGGGATCGGCCGCGCCCTGGTTCCTGGGGGGCTGCCGGAAACGGATGTCCCGGGGGGAGCCCCCCCACTCCGCCCCGCTCCTGTTACCGGGGAGGGAGGGGGGAGAAGCGTCCCGGTTATCGGGACCGCCCTGCCCCACCGGGGTGCTCTGCGGTGGTACATGGGCTTTCTGGGGCCGGGCACGCCTTGATCTGGGTTAAGGGCGCGCCCCGTCGACCGTCGCCCCCCCCCCCCCCGCCCCAACCCTGGGCTGGCGGCACGCGAGCACCGACGCCCACCATGGGACACGGGGCAGCAGTGGCTGGGTCCGGCCCCGTTAATCCCAGCCCCGTACTTGCACTGCCCTAGAATAACCGCCGCAGGCCTCGGTCCGAAGCCTCCGCTTCAGGCCCCGTCGAGCATCCCCCGCCTCGGTGGTCCCTAGGGACCGCGCGGGAGAAGCTTGGCCGTGGCCCCCTCGAACCGGGGGGCCGGCGGGGGTGCCGTGCGAAGCGTTCCCCGTGCTTCCTGCCCTCCCTGTGCAGGGGGAAGCGGGAGGGAAGGGTGTCTCCCGCCCGCGGCGTGGCTTTGGGTGGGGACGCCCGAGGACACGCTCCCGACGGCAGTGCCGCAGCCCGGCCAGGTCACCCCAGCACCTCCCGCCCGTGTCCCGGGACGGGGCACTGCGGTGGGTGCTGCGCGGCGAAACCGAGCACCACCGGTGTGCGCCGTGTCCCGGCTGGAGCTGCTGAGCCGGCAAGGGAAGCACAGCCCCGTCCACTGCCTGTTCCCTGCCCCATTCTTTGCCTGTTCACTGTCGGATCCCACCCGTGTCCCTGTGCTCCCTGTCCCTTTGAATCTGCCGGCAGGATGTCTGCATGCTTCTGCTGTGGCTTCATCGCTGGCTGTTAGACCCATATTTGGTAGCAATAATTGTTTATTCCCTTCTTCTCTCCCCAAGCCTTGCTGCTTGAGGAGGGGAGGGGTTATATTTTGGGGATCTTGAGCTTTGCTAGAGCCGGAGGGTTGCCCGGTAAAAGGATCTGATCCCCCCACTTCCTGCAGGCCATGGGGCAAACCGCCCCCCCAAGTGCTAAATGAGCAGGGATGAGCACTGGCCAAGCACCCAGCTTGCTCACTGAGTGGCAAGGCTTTGGGGCATCCCAAAGATTTGGGGAAGGGCAGTGGGAAGGCTGAGGAAGGGAACCTGTGGTTCACCCTCTTTTACAGAGCTTTGGTTTGCTGGATGCTGGGTGGAGAAATGCCCCTCAAAACGCAGTGATGCTCTCTTCTCTTGTGCTTTCCCCTTTCTGCGTGGCCGGTGGTGTGGTGGTGAGCAAGTGAATGCTCAGCTCACTTCCCCTAGTGAATGTGGGTGCCTGGATCGGGTGAGAACACACACTGCACCCCAAGTGCTGCTTTTGGGATGCTGTGCCAGCTCTGAAAAGACACAGGAGAGGCTGGGGATGGAGGCCTGCCCTTGCTCACCCGCATGCCTGCCTGATGGTGGGCAGCCGAGGGATGCTGCCATTTGTGCAGCATCCATTTGGAGGACAGGAGATGCCAGGCAGGAGCAGGCAGACCTGGGAATGCACAGGAAACAGCAGCAGTTAACAGCTAGAGCTGCTGTCATCCTCCATCTCCACTGCCGTCCCCTGCTTGTTCCCATCACCAAACAGAGCTGCCTGTCCAGTGGGGGTGAGAGGATGCTCCTGCCCCTGGGTAACAGCTGGGTGGTCACAGGGGTGCCATGGAGCTGCCCCCAGTGGTTGCTCATGCTCCCCAGGAGCAAGCTCACCCTCAGCTGGAAGAAGCCATCTTCCACCCGATGTGGACATGCAGCTGAGGAAGAAGAACTGGGCTGAGTGGTGTTGGCAGCAGGGCCGGGGCAGCCGGTGCAGCCTTCCATGGGTGCGGTGCTGAGCCACCCATGTGCCTGCCATGGTCCCATATGGACCAGCCAGAGCTGTCTCTGCCTTCTTAACCAGGTTAATTTTTGACCTATTCCTTGTGCTGATATGCCAGCAAACATGGTGGCCTGATACCTGCCTGCCTGTGCCGGCAGCCAGCAACCCCATGGCTCTGGAAAACCCCAGCAGTGGGGTGGATTGCAGCTGATGGTGCTTCCTGCAGCCTGGGGGTGGTCCGGAGTGGGGCCTTTCCCAAGTGAGACTTGGCATTGCTGTAATAAAACCCCAATGAACCAACAAACCCAAACCGCGTCCACGGCCTCCCTTAGAAAAGAGCATGATAAAAATGGCAAAATCGCCGCGTTCGAAAGATTTACAGCTTGTTCTGGAAACTGTCCGCAGAGCGTGCCAGCAGGCTGCTGCTGAATTGTTGGTTGATTTTAAGATAAAAACCCTCCTCTGTAACCGTCCTCTCAGCGCTAAGCTCGACCGGCACAAATATAGCAGCTACGTCACGTGGTGGAAAACTCGCTGTCAGTGGTCTCTGCAGTATGTGGTGGCTCCTTGGGCTGTGCTGCCTTTAAGCTGAGACCTCCGCACCAGGGTGGGTTTGCCCATCTGGTGCAGGGTGAGATGGGGGCAGCCCTGATGGGGTGGGACCCTGTGAAGAAGACCCCTCTCCCATTGTGGGATCAGCTCAGGAGCGTGCTGGCGGCTCAGAGGGCTGCAGCTTGCTGTAAAAGGCAGAAGTGTGTTAGTCTGGCTGCCAGCTGGTGGGCTCGCTGCTCCGGTGCCTTATCTGCCTTTGCATACTGACAGCCGATCGAGAACAGGTTTGCTTGCTCTGGAGGCGAACCAGCGCAGAAATCTGGTGTTTGTGCATCGAGACTCGGTTTGTTTGGGTTCTGTTTTTTTTCCCCTTTCCAGAAGAACAGCTTGAATTCCACTGTCCTTTTCCTTTGTTTTCCTGGTCGGCAGCGCCGGGCTCCCACGCTGTCTCATCCCTTGTGTCTAGTCCAGCTTTTCCTTCCCCACGTGGAGAGGAGAGAGGTCTGCAGAGGCCGAGCCCTGCATTGGTGCCTTCGCAGGAGGCAGCAGAGACACAAGCGCTGTGTGATTAACTGCTGACAAATCTCTCCATGGTTTGAGGAGGTGTATTTATGCAGCAGAGAGCGTTTCTGCTTTAGACATTGATGTCAGCAAAGCTCGGCTGCTGGAGCCTGAGCTGCTCCTGTAGAGTATGGGAATTAAAGTGAACTGTCTCCCCTTCCTCCCCTTTCTTGCGTCTTTAGCACCTTCCCTGCTGAGCACTGTTGTTGTAATAGCTCAGGAGTGTCAAGTCTTGAGCATTCATCCTCCTGTGGGGTTTTAGCCCCTGTGAAGGGTTTCCTAAGGGGGGGCTGATTTTGGGTGGCTTGAGGCAGGCAAGAGGAGGCTGCAGAAATGGCTGGCCATGGGCTGGCTCCCCTCAGTTCCTCTCTGCTGCTCGGTATCTTCCCCTCCCCTTCCTCCATGGTCTCTGACCTTGTCCTGTCAGGGGCATGTTCTCCTTTTCCTGCGGAGGGACGGAAAGCAGCTTTATGCACGACTCAAGATTATTTTTAGATGTAGAGAAGATGGCCCGGTGACCACAGCAGCCTGCCCTGCGCATGAAATATTCATAAAGCCCTTTATGCAGCAGGGTGTTCCTCATCCCTGTGGCTCCGCCGCTTTGCTGCTGCTTCCGGATGGAGGGCAGCGGCACAGGCGGGTGCCTCTTCTGCCTCTTCCCCCCTTGACACCAGGCTCTCTTGCTCTGGACCCAAAATGCATTTCATTCCTCGTCAGCGGAGCCATGGGGGCCGCGGGCCTCCGCAGAAACATTGCAGAGCGGCTCAGGAATGCAGAGCTGGAGCTGCTCCATGGTGCTGGCGGAGGCGGCACACTCCC